CCCCTCCTCCTCAACCCCCTCCTCCTCCTCAACCCCCTCCTCCTTCTCCTCTTCCTCCCCTGCAGCTCTATATTCTCCTCCGCCTCTTCCTGTTCTTCATCGACCTCTTTTTGCGGCTCTCTATCCTCCTCTCCCTCTTCCCCCTCCCCCTCCTCCTCCTCTTCCTCCTCTTCCTCCTCCTCAGACACAAACACAAACTCAAACCAGCTGACACTGAGCTCTTCTTATTCTTTGTATAACCACAAGCTGCAAAAAGGTAGAATATCTAAGAATTGCTTCAGTGGAGAGCTGGAATGTTTTCTGACCAGCACCCAGGGCACAGAAGTAGGAAAACGCCAGAAAGCGCTTAGGATCGTTTTCAAGATGGTTTGTGTAGTCGTTTTGGATTTGTTACAATATTATGTACGTAAAAAAATAATAATCACTATTCGTCAATTAGCACTGTTACACTCTACATCGTGAATGCCCCTTATTCGTTCAGTTGGTGGTTGGAGGGTGCTCTGGTGTGGTTTGCTCTTTTTTTTCTATCGTCCTTATCTCTCCTTCTCTCCTTCTTTTATGTGTTTGTTACTCTCTTGTAACATCTCTAACCTTCGGCACTTATATGACCTTATTGTGCTGCAAGTATGTAACACTCTTACCGAAACAAGAATCTCTTAGTCAGCATTGGAACTATACCTAAACTATGTTTTATTTACTTACTCCTAAGGGGCAGAATTTTTTTATTTTTTTTAAAAACATTTTCAGGCGCACGTCACTTTCCACTTTCTGTTAGTTTCTATTTCTGTGAGTGTGATTTGCAGTTGGGTCTGAAGGAAGAGAGTATAGTGGTCGACGGTAGTGCAGGCTTGCCCTCGCTTATGAGAACAATGACAACCGTTTCGTCTCATATGCATCTCTGTATGCACAGCGGGTGAGGTGGGGAGGGGGAAAGGGTGGGGTGGTGTGAAGACTTTATTTACAGGGTACTTGTTGAGCGGTCTTTCTCAACGGGTACCGG